TGTCTTGCTCTCTTTTTTGCTGCAATAAAATTAAGACATTATTTGATTTATTCTGAGGTGTATGTGGTTGCCAAGACTGATATTGTCAAATATATGTTGTCCCGCCCTTTGTTAAGAAGCCGAATAGGTAAATGGATTCTGGCTTTGTCTGAGTTTAATTTGAAGTATATACCACAGATGGCTATCAAAGGGCAGGCACTGGCAGACTTTCTTGCAGATCATCCATGTCTGGACGTGGAGGCAGATGAAGAAAAATGGATTAACTTGTTTTCAATAAGTTTAGTTCCCTGGAAACTTATTTTTGATGGATCCAGTACAGAATCCATGTCTGGAGCTGGAGTCGTGGTAATTTCCCTGTCTGGGCTGAAAACACAGATGTCTTTCCAGCTAGATTTTAATTGCACAAATAATCAAGCAGAATATGAAGCTTTGATTATTGGTCTTGAGATGTTGGTGGAGCTTAAAGTATCCATGGTTGAGGTTATAGGAGACTCACAGCTAGTTTTGAAGCAATTGTCTGGTGAGTACAAATGTACTAGCCTTGCTTTAGCCCCTTATTTTGCCTTGGCTGTGCAATTGCTGGAAGAATTTGATGACGTGTCCATCAGACATGTGCCCAGAGACGAGAACTATGAAGCTAATGAAATGGCCCAGATTGCTTCAGGTCTGCGAATCCCTGAAGGTGTAATGCAGAAAGTTGTAATAGTTGAAAAACGCAGTCTGCCATCAATTCATCAACGTGACATGACTGTCTCCACTTGCAGCATTGATGTTACCCAGACGGACTGGCGCTTTCCAATTATTCAGTACCTTAAGGATCAAAGCATTAAGGTATCTAAGAAAACCAAAATGCAAGCTTTCAATTATGTCTTGATTGAGGATGTACTTTATAGGAGAGGAAATGATGAACTACTGCTGCGTTGTCTGGGTCCAGATGAAAGTTTCCAGATGCTGTCTAATGTCCATGATGGGATTTGTGGTGCACACCAGGTTGGGATCAGGATGCGTTGGCTGATTCGCAAACATGGCTTCTTCTGGCCGTCTGTCCTGAAAGACTGTATTGCTTATGCTAAGGGCTGCAAATCTTGTCAAATCCATGGGCCACTTCAAAGAGTTCCAGCCTCTGAACTTAATTCTATTGTGAAACCATGGCCATTTCGAGGCTAGGCTATTGACTTAATTGGTAAGGTGTATCCCCCTTCATCAAAAGGTCATTCATTTATTATAGTGGCAACGGATTATTTTACCAAATGGGTGGAGGCTAAACCAATGAAGAAGGTAGACCAATCTGATGTAATCAAGTTCATTAAAGAGGATATTATTCACAGATTTGGTCTGCCAGAAACAATTACAACAGACCAAGACACAGTTTTTGTCAGCCATCGGGTGGAGGCATTTGCAAAGGAAATGGGTTTCCGGTTGTTAAATTCTACTCCTCATTATGCACAAGCTAATGGGCAGGCAGAGGCTTCTAACAAGGTGGTGATTAATTTGCTTGAAAAAATGGTGGATGACAATCCCAGACGCTGGCATGAATTATTGTCTGAAACACT